GGTAGGCAGTAGACCTCGCATGTCGAGGGGTCCTGGCAACAGATGGGGCCCTCTGTACCTCTCAGGATGGAGTCACCTATGACGATCACTCGACGCTTGTTCCTCCAGGACTGCTTAGCTCCTTCAGCCTGCTCGGATCATGGAGAGTGTGGAGTTGCCCCCTCTCTGGTTGCCTTCTCTCCTTCCTTCTCCTCCAGAGTTGCCAGGGCCTCGTACCTGTTCTCCAGCTGGACTGGAGGAACTGGTACTGCTGTGTTATGAGCACCCCTGGTTCTGGAGGTGACCATCTGCCACTCTGCAGTGGAGGGCACTTCCCGAGGTGCTTCTTCCTTGGGTGTGTGGCCCTGCAGGGAAAGGAAATAGCTGTCAATTTCATCCTCCGCTTCCCTGATTCCCCTCAGCCTGCTAACCTCCTTCTGGAACTCCCTTACCTGCACCTCCAAGGCCCTAAGGCGGGCGCCTGCAGGGCAGGTGTGGGCGTCCCCAATCCCTGCCCCCCCGGGCCTTGCTGGGCAACTCTTGCAGGCCAGGGGGTGGGGGGACGCCAGCTCCCCCTTGGGCTCTGTCTGGGTGGAGGCCTCAGACAAGCCCTGGGTAGGCTGTGCCCCCCAGGCAGGGGCCCTGGCAGCACTCCGTGTTGACACCATCGTAGGAGTTGCTGTTTGTTTATGGCTTAGTGCGGTGCCTTTGCCCTGCCCTAGCAGGAGTCTTCCTCGTGGCCCTTCCTGCTCACCCACCGGCGTGAATGCTGACGCAAACGCTGGTGCGCTCTTACAGAACACTCCTGTTTGCGTGCTATGTTCATGCAGCGTGGCTTGGGAGCGCGGCTCCTGGTTCTTAATGGCTGTAGATTTTCATTCCTTAGATGCAGACTGGGCCTAAGAAAACTGTCTCCTAAACATTTTTGCTTCACACCTATAGTCCAAGTATCATTGTGCCTGAGAGCAAAGCTGTTGAACTTGACCCTCATCCTGGGACTTCGTTTAGTTATCTTGGACCCAGGCCATCTTGAAGATGGGCCAAAATCCAATGCTACCTTGAGGCAGGAAAGTAGGAATTGCATGGCTAATATGGCATTTAAGCTACTTGTGCAGATTTCAGGTCCTGCTGTTCTAAAGACAGTGCATAACTGTGTAAATTACAGTAATATAGCAGAAGAGGACAACCCTCCATACTTCTAGCCCAGGAGGCTAAGATTAGGACACTTGCTCAGAACAATGGTTTTAAGCCACACTCACCCCAAAGGAGTTTACAGCTACAGCTTTTATTTCCCAGCAAAGTGCTTTTCTTTCCACTTGTTGAAGCTGGCTGCTGGGCAGACAAGTGGAGAAGATATTTAAGATTAGAAGGAGAGCAGGCAAAAAGCAGCCCTGCTTCTGTGGGTCAGTGAGCTGGCCACTGCCTTTTAAGGGCTCTGGTCCTTGCTTCTGTGCCCATTTTCAGGTGTCCATTTTATATATGTCCATTAAAACAAAAATGCAGAAACATCTTCACTAAAGTTTGCTGTGTAAATGCTGCTTACCTGACTAAAAAGGAGTTGGATTTGGACAAGGAGTTATAGACTTGACTAACACTCCAATATGGGGAGTCAATGCAAAGGACAGGTTCGGTGTGTTTATGGCAGCATATATTGCTAGGTTAACACACTCAGAATTTCCCATTGCCTCTGTTCTGGTGGCATCCTGACTCCTGTTATTTCTTCATAATGCAAGTCTTTCTTTTTTACTGGGACTTATTCCCAGCTTGTGTTTCTGCATATGGCTCTTTGAATTTGGCAAATTAGTTAGTTTTAAAATGGTCAGTTTGGAATTGGCTCCTGATTTATTGTCTTTCTCTTTACCAGCTTGTAAACACGTTTCCTTCTAGTTTTGCCTTTCTTATTGCTACGGAGATGGCACATATGAACACTATGTAGAACGCCTGTTATACACAGTTTGGGTATCCTGTAACAGAAGATCTATATATCATAGGTCATGAGTGAATAAAAACCTGCTTATGGTGGCTAGCTAGTGGCCTAAGTAAAAGTAGATACAATCAGACAGCTTGGTCTGTGAGATGTATCTAAGGTAGGTCAGTACATCCCTTTAAAGGCAGGTATCATTGAAAAGTCTTTTAACCTTTATGGTTGATACCTTATAAAGTACTGCAACTCCTCCAAATCCTATCATGTACCTAGAAAACTAGAAAAATGGTGTGGGAAGTAGGGCTGGGTGCACTGACTTGAAGTGGCAAAAGGATGAGAAGCCCATTCATAGCAATGCTTTGCTAACAAGCATACCTGAATGGTCAGAGAAAGGGAGTTGTTTTAAAGGTTATAAGCTATTCACCTTTTTCTTCGTTTTTCTTCTGTAACTAAACTAAAACTAAATTGAGATGCCTTATCTGGATAATTTTATTGGACTGGTAAATCTAGGAACATTAAGCAAGTAGTCTCTGTTGATTTAATATAATTTTTGTCTGTTTTAAATTTATCTTGTTTTAAGAAAACTATTGTATGGGTAAGTTGATGCAGTCTACCTTCAAAGTAAAGACAACCATGTAATCTCTAATGCAGTGTTTCTCAAACTTTTTAGATTCAAGGCACCCTAGAAACTGCCAGCTCTTAGTTTTCACTTGTTTTTTGACTAGAGAAAAAAAATAGAATGAATAATTTTTCTGTTGCAAAAAACACTGAAAGGCCATGGCAACTCAGAATGTTTTTAACACTATGAAGTCCTATTTGAAATCTCCAGGTTTATCTTGCGAGTCATACTTACACACCTAACAGTGCTAACATTGTGTGGTGCACCGCAGCACCCTTGAAAGGATCTCAAGGCACCCCAGGATGCAATGGCACCATGGTTGAGAATTACTGCCCTAATGAGAGGTGGTGATGCAAAGGCTGAAGAGTCATCTGGAATGCCTTTACTCAGCCATAATCAGGATGATTAAAGGGGTCCTCTTCATGTGATTCTTGTTGCTGTCAGGTTATAGCAGGTGAACATAAAGGGAAAAGGAGGATTTATCAGAAGTCAAAATTTGCCCAGGATTCTGGGAATCCTGAGTGAATGTGTACAACAGGGTCAGGCTCTTCATGCTCCCCTGGAAATGAATAGCAAAATTCTACAAATCTCAGTGGCAGCAGGTTTGAGTCCCATACAGAAGGATTTGGGGAATAAAACATTAATTTCACAATATGAGCCTGATTTCATTCCTAAGGTTGGGTTCTACAATGAGAGTGTGCCAGCTGTCCTGAGGACCAGAGATGGTCCTTGCTTCCAAGAAAGTTCATTGGAAAGGGGTGAAATGTAGACATCAAAGCAACATGGGGTTTTCATGTGCTTTCATTTGAGGGAAGAAATATTCTTTGGACAGGACCACTCATTTATAACTAATTCAGATATTTCATATAGATTTTTTTTCCCAAGAATGTTTCATAATGAAAGTAGAAAATGTTTCTTTTTAACAGTTGAAAGAAGAAGAAGGTATAATATTAATTACCGAATCAAGGAGCTTGGCACGCTTATTCCGAAGTCCAACGATCCGTGAGTTCAACAATCATTTCTATAACAATGTTTATACTTTAAATACAGGGGGAGAGGTCTGAAAATATGCCATGAGAGTGGGTCCTATGATGCAGAATCTTGCACCTCCTACATCACTTATTTAAATCCAGTTTAGCAGGTCTGGTAGACACCAAAAGTTATTAAACCACTGTCAGCTTTTTGGAGGCTATTTTGAGAAGACTGTATTTTAGCAGTCCACTTCTTCAGAGAGAGGTCTCCACACTGAGGGGAAGAAATGTTTTGGGGAATAACTGCTGTGCTTGTTTGTAGTCTCACTAGATAATAAAAGTAGAATGATCGTAGGGAAAGAAATATCCTCTTATTCTCAGAGATGGTCCCTCTGGTGGGATAAGATAACATGTGCACTGCTGTTACCTTCCCTTCGTACTGAAGTTGTTGGCTAGATGCATTTCACAAAACCCACATTCACTGAAAAAAAAATCAAAAAGTAAAGGTGGAAATGAAAGACCTTTAATGTTTTATAAAAAATAAAAATTGCTATATTTTATAGTGATATATTTATTTACTGTAACTAAGAATTTATATTGCCTGAACTGTACTTCTTTTGTATAATGTTAGTATTTGTCATCAGTAGGGGAAAAAAGACCAGTCTATATTAGGATTAGCGGTAACAGTGTTATTTAATGCCTGGACTTTAGCTTTGGATTTCTCATGCCACTCAAAAAGCCTAAAGAGCATGACTGAGACTTGGATAAAACTGGTTATACAAATATTGTGGTTTTCATTTGCATGTCAGTGGAAGCCTGCATGATGCTCTGAATAAAAATATCTATTGACACTTCAGCCTTTCTTCCTGAGGGCTAAGAAAATTTTGATTACATTCAGGATTTCTATAAGAATATAAAGCTGTGTGAGACTTACATGAGTACAAGCTTGGCATAACAAGCCACTTTGATAGAAATCACCAGTGAGAAAAGTAACACATCTTAGTTGCCTCTACAGACTGACATTTTTACAGATTCAGCTTTTTCTATAGCATCAACCCAACATTAATTAAATGGGCATGCTACTATAGATGTTGCTAATACAATGATTGGTTGAACCAGTTCAGTTACTATAAGGACCTCCAAAGCTCCTAAATAATATTTTGTTCACTGCTGACATCCTTAGTAGAGAGGCAAGGATTTTTTGGGTTGATATCTTTTATTGGATCAAATGCATAGTTGGGATAAAGTTAGACAAGCTTTCAAATGCAAGCAGGTTAGAAAAAGAATGATCTGAAGAAGAATGTTTGTCTACCTTTCCCCCAACTATGTAGTTGGTTCAATAAAAGATATCACCCCAAAAAATCCTTGCCTCTCACAGTTTCTGGACCATCAGGGATACAACATCACTCCATATCCTTCATAGGCATATTGGGTCTAAAAGCATTTTAATCATAGTGTCATACCCTTCTAAGAATTGTGAGGAAAGATTACTCAAAGAAACACGGATGGCAGTATTGGTTTGTATCTATGAAGTAGTAATTACATTGCAATTAGAAATAGGAATGACTTACAAATTCCAGAGAAAGGTCCTCATTCCCTGAAAGTGTGGAGGGGTGCTGGAATTGAATGCTTTGGTTTGGGTTCACTTCTAGATTTCACATAATTGAATATATGAACAAATTGTACTGATCTGTTAAAGTGTTGCTTTATGAAAAGGTTTTCGGCAATGATCATGAAGAGGTCATATTTTTTCTTTTCTTATTCTGTCAGCATGACAAGCTTGGTATGACAGTCACACAAGCTCGTACTTTCAAAAGTGATCAGTGAATTTGGGTGCCTCTGTTTTTTCAGATGTCCTATTTGATACCTTTTAAGGGGCCTTATTTTCAGAGGGCAGGTTATCACAGTCTTCATTTGGCATCCAAAATGTGGCATCCAAATTCAGTAGTCATTTTTGAAAAGGTAGGTCCCAGTCCAATTTTACTTATGCTCGGTCAGATGAAAAGGATCAAAGGATTAATGCACATGAAGTTTTATTTTCGGTTGTAAATAAAAATTAATCTAATAGGTTTGGTGCATCTGAACAATTATTTACTCCATGGCATAGTCCTTCCCTTTCACTACCTCCAAGTGTTCCCATACTATCTCTCTCTCTCTCTCTATATATATATATTTTACATATATAGATAGATATAAATATATATCTCTCACTGTTCTTGTTTTCCTTCTTATGCTCCTAGGTTGCTCTTCCTTTTTAAGTAAAAAGATAGATATTTATTATCTCCTAAAGACTTTCTCTATATTGTCATGTATCATCCCTCCATGCCATTTTCTCAAATGCACCATTTACACCTCATTTATTAATTTAAAAAATGCTTTTGAAACTAGTGATGTAACTGCAAAGAGAAAGGTATGATTGTATCTTACTCTTATTTTGTTGTTTTTATGACCAACTTATTTGCATTCAGCTGAGATTCAGTTTCTGAACGTTTCTGCTAAAACCTCTTTATTTCTTTTTTATTTAATTTTGTAATTTGGGTTATAGATTATGTGAGTTAAAGGGATGAGGATTCTAAATTCACTTTATCGGGGGAAGGAATTGGTGGTAGGAATCTTGGCTCAATTAAATTGCAAAGCACTTTTTAGTTTAATTTTCAGTAAATACATAGTTAAGTGTTAGGTGCTTTAGAAATGTAAAACCATAAATAGATGGTCAAATATTTTAAAAATCAAAAGGAGAAACCCAAATTTGGTATTTTGTTGAAACTCAAAACTAGTTTATTTAAATATATGTATTTCCAGGTTGAGCTGAATAAACCAGGCTCCAAGTTGTGCTGGAATTTGAACACCTTTCCCATGATATGTCTAGACAGACTGGAATTACCAGAAATAACAAGAGAAAAGCCCTTCATCTGAGAATTCCAACCTAATATTGTAGATATGAAAAGTTCAGAGATTCCCTAAGCCTTCAGGGAAGAATAAATGGATTGCTGTCACCTTCTCTATGCATTCAATGTCTGTCTGTTGCCTGCTGTATTTTGAATTGTTGTGTGTCTGTGGAAAGCCTTGATAGACACAGTTCTTCTGGCTTTCTGCATCAATTATTAAATTTTATGTAAATAGTGGTCCATTTATAATGATGATATAAAAGTAGATTTGCTTTGAGTGAGCTGCACTGAATAGCACTTGTACAAGTTGTCTGATACAAATCAACAAAGAGGTTCAGAATTGAACCCTTCAAATGCACCTGCATATTTCTGACTAATTTCTTTTGAGGAACTGGAAATGTTCATAAATATATTCTGATTTGAATTGATTCGTTTGTTGTTGCTTTGCCCAAGGTATGATTGATAAAAACAACATTCAACCTAAAACTTGCTCACAAACTGAGTTCATCATTACTTTGTATTAAAAATATATGATGGGACATGTTCGTTCCATGAGGTTGGATCTTCAGCCCCATTGAGCTGCTGATACTGTGTTGACTTCAGTAGAACTACTATGATTTAGACCAGCTAAGAATGAGCTGGCCAATGGCTTTGTTTCTTATTCCTGAATAGACATGAGTGGTTTGGGAGAGTGTATAATGAAGTTACTGGGCATTTGTTGTTTTCAGCTGGTGAAGTTGGAAACGGCTAATGTAGTAAGACTGAGGCTGCTTACCAATGTGAACCACCCCCCTCCCCCCAAATGGTGCTTTAAGCTTGGTGCACCCTCGCAGCAAGCACAGTGCATCCCCAGAAGAGGCATCACATTAATTGGACCCAGCTTGCCCAACATCTGTATATATTGGGAGTTTCAGAGGGGCTTTTAAGCACTTTTATCTAATAGTGATTGAATCAGCTTTAGATAAAATTGCCAAAAATCCCTGCTGAAATGCCTGATCTATATACACACTGCGGACCCGGGTTGAACTAATGCACTGCCTCTTCCAATAAAGTGCTGTTTTGTTTGGGGTTTTTTTCCACATCTGTCATCACCCTGAGTGATTTCTAAGACATTGTATATCTGTTGTTTACTTTTAAAGTTGAATCAGGCCTTTCTGAGATGCTGCAGTTATTTAAATTAGCCATAATAACAGTAACAATTGTTATAATATATTCATTATACTAATTTAAGGACAAATTATTATTATTATAGTAGCATCCAGGTGCCCTGATCAGGACTTAAGTTTCACTATGTTGATTAGCGTACTGACACACACAAGGAATTTACAGTTAGAAGCCCAATCTTGAAAACATTTAGAATTGAGCTCAATTGAAGAGCTATTCACATGTGTAGGTATTAATGTGATAAGATAAAATTAATGTGATGAATACTAGAAAGGAAATGGAGGATCAAGAGTGAAGAATAATAACTCAGCAGTTCTATATGCTAGCTAGATACACAATTTGCTATTTCCAAATATTTTTAAATATAACTTATTTTTTAAATATTATTTTAAAATGTTTTATTAAAAAATAAAATCATCAATACCTACTGCTCATTCCCAAATGAGTTTGTAGGGCTGATAGCTAGAGAGTCGTAATTTTATCTGTAACTGAAGCATGGCTGACATGGAAATGATTATGGAGCAATAAAGATGAATTTTGCAATGCCATTTTAGTTATTTTTCACATATCTGCATCTTAATTTAGAATTTCAGATATATCATAGAAAAAACTGAAAAACAAGAATTGAATTAAAAAATTCCCATGACAATTTTTATCTTTCAGTTACCATAAATAAATAAAAGGATGATGTATAAGACCCATAATATTCTCATACAGTATCCTTTTTTAATAACTTTTTTGGTAGGCATGCCACAAATTGGCTCCCTGCCCTCCCCAAGTGCCACTCCAATCCCTTTCCCTTACTTGATCTGCTGCCCAGTTTACTGCTCCCTGCCCTGTGCTCCCTGCCCAAGATGCTGCTCTGCTTTTTGCTTCCTGCCCTATGCTTCTTGCCTGATCTAATGCTCTGCTTTTTGCTCCCTGGCCCTAGGGCTGTGCGAAATTTTGTCAAGTATTTTGTTTGCAAGCTGTTTTGATGAGTTTCAAGCTCGAAGCAGCAAAATCGAAATGAAACAAAAAGCTTCAAAACAACTTCAAAATGAAATGAGGGCAATCAAAACATTTCAGGTTTTGAAGCAGCTTAGTGGTGGGGAGAGTCAGGACTGCACTCTGAGTGGCTCCGCAGCCCCATGAGCTCAGCTGGGCGGCGGGACGTGGAGCACAGCCCTGGCTCTGTCTGATTCCCACCGCTGGGCTGTGCTCCAAGTGGCTCTGCAGCCCCATGGAGCATAGCCTGGGGGCAGGAGGCAGGCAGAGCCAGGGTTGTGCTCTGATTGGCTCTGCCAGCCCTATGGAGTGCAGCCTGGTGGTGGGTCCCAAGTTGTAGTGGTAGTCTCCTGTCATCCAGCCCAGATCCAGAGGCCTGCACCCCCAGGAGTCTGGCACAGCCCTGCAGCCCTCCCAGGAGTGTGGGCCCCTGGATCTGTGCACTGGATGACAGGAGGCTGCTACTGCCAGCAAGTGTGACAAGTTTTGCTTTTTTGCAGTTTGAGGTGCAGTTTCCCAGAAACCTCTATACACATCTCCTTGACACTCTGCAAGCTTCATGCCCTCAGAAGAGGCTACCATCCCTGCAATTTTCATCAGAGTCAGGCAAGAAATGACAAAGTTGTAGGCATTTTCATGATTTCCCATTATAGCCTATGGGCAAAATGTCGAAACACATCAAAACAGTGAAACGGTTTCGATGAAATGAAAAGATGAAATTGAAACACCGTCCCTTCAAAATGGACATTGAAACAAAACAGGGGTGTTTCGCACAGCCCTACTATCTACCACTGTGCTGCTTGTCTCCTTCCCAGTCTGCCACCTGCCACACAGAGGGGCACATACTGTAGGTTAGCCACTTCAAGGATATACTGTTGATAATACCTATGCAAGCACGTTTCCCCACACTGTTCTGCCAATTGGGCACTATCTTGATGGATTATGTTCCTGCCCTTCCAGTAGTGCATACCCTAGACAGAGACAGTGTTCTGATGTGGCTTTTCTATGCTCCATTTTGTTACCATGGGTAAAGATGCTGAAGAAAACCAGCGCAAGGAAAACCACTTTCATATAGAGCCAGCACAGAGGCTTTTTTATTACCTGCCTGTCTGCCAGGATAAAAGAGTATGGATGGAGCTCAGCTTAAACCAGATTAATGCATTGTTGTTTCATGCCTTCCACTGAATCTGTCCTAGTGTATTTAAGGCTGTGTCCCCTTCAGGCTCTGGAAGATTTAGCTATAGGCAGAGTAGATTTGCACCTTATAGAGTAACTAAAATAGATATATATAGCTCACACTTCATCTCAGTAAGTTGGAGCTCACTTCATCAGATGCTGTGAAAGGACTTGCATATACCAATGTATAAAACATAAAGAATGATTTGAATACAAAGGTAGAAGGGCAGGGGAAGATGGGAGAGAGGGAAGAGGGGCAGGGAGCAGTGCTGGGAGAGGTGAACAAGCAAGCAATAAACCCATAGTAACAAGGGAGTCCCAAAAATTAATCTAGGTACTGGAATAAGAATCCATAGTCCGTGTATAAACCATACTTAACACAATCCAGCCTGTGGATGATTTCTTGTTTCACAATTCCCCATTCAAATCAGTTTTTAAAGGTTTGCTGCCTGAGAACAACAATCCTGAGGTCAGCAATGGAGTGTTGGGGGAGGGACTCTGTTAACCCTGGGACAAGAAAAACACTGTAGCAGGCTGATGCAAGGACCAAGTCTGGCTTTGTTGATCTGAGTGGCTACAGTTTTGGAGTTGTATTGTAATTGTGGGAATTCCTGCTCCAGACCCTCAAGATGTGCATGCTGGTTGATGAGATCAGAGCAGATACAGGTATATCACCAAGCTTGTCTGTAGATGGATCTAGTGGTGTGTTTAGGATGAAAGCTGGTGGCATGAGGGTAGGTGTAGCAGTTGGTTGGTTTCTGATACAATGTGGTGGCACTGCGGCCATTGCAAACCTTCTCTGTAGTGTTTATGAAATAAATTTGCTGGGTGGAGTATTCCAGAGTTGTGTGATGGACTGGTGGAACTTATTAAAGTCCTGGTGAAATTTTTCTAGAGATTCCTTCCCTTGTATCTGTACAAGGAAGATGCCATTTATGTACCTGAGGTATGTTGGGGGATGAGAGGGCATCCACAGAGAGAAAATAGACATCAATTTATGTCATAAAAATATTGGCACGTTGGGATTTAGTATTCTTATTTAGCAAAACATCCCACCAATGTTGTATAGTGTGGGGTGTGTGTGCATATGCGTGCATACACACACATGCTCACAATTGCCAATTAGAAAGAATTTTGTACTTTCTCTCAGGTATTGAACAAAGAACTTGTTGGATAACGAACTTAAGAAACTGTCAGTGATGTAGTTCAGTTCCGAGTTTCCAGAGTTTATAGGAAAGATTCAGAATTCCTTACTGGAGGAGTATCGCAGGGGCCGGAGGCTTTTTGTCAGGGTTCACAATGGTAGGGGCAATCCCCTCAAATGTGTAAATGTCATGTTACAAGTTATGTAGCATTTATTCCTTAGCACTTGCAAGTCGACTAGATCCATCTCTACTGGAAATCTAAATCCAACAATTAGGTTCACAGTGAAGATTTATCTTAAAGTAAGAGAAAAATTAGCACCATTATATCAGGAAATTCAAACTGTCCAGCCAGTACCATTATGAGAAGTCGGCAATATTCAGAATATGATAATTAGGGTTATTAATATTATGCGGAGGAAAAAAGCTTGCAAATAACTGATTAGTGGGTTCAAAGTGCAGCCCGTAATATATGGTTTATTATTAGATTGAAGGGAAATATTCATTGAAAAAATTTTGTCAAAATTTCCCTGTTTTAATTCATAATGTCTGTGATTAGCTGGAGCACCTGTGATTTTTTTTTTGCCAGACTTCATACCTATACTCAGTAGTTGTAAATAAATTTGTTCCCTCACCCCATCCAAAGCATTTCCAAATTGCTAAATACTATGTCTTTGCAACTAATTTTGTAGTGTTGTATTTTTTTTTCAAGCTGAGCTAGTTAAGTGTGAGTAGTCATATACTTTGCATAGTATTATTCTGTCCTTTAGTATGAGGGGGTGACCTTATGTACCTAGGAGGATTGTGGATGTGTTTCCCTGAAGGAGATGTTATAGATATTATCATTCCCGTATCTTTTTCCAAAACTGCCATCAAAATTCACTAAGGCACTTGCAAAATATAGTCACTCACTCTTTTACTTGAGAATGAAGGAAATATTATATTTTACTCACCACAGGTGTGTATGTATGAATAGCATTTTTGAAGGCTTTCCCTAAAATAGTAGAAAAAGTATCATTTCGGTGTTGTTCAGAGTTTGCAATCTAAATGGCAGTGGGAACTGCCTATTGATTTGTTTTCATAATGTATATTATTTTCACCATACGTAGCAAGTATCCAAGTACAGACCTTTGGTTCAGAATCTAAGAAGTGATCCATCTCCAGATTCCTACAAGCCATAACCAGTCAATTTTTACAGCCATTGCAAGGCTCATGTGAGTCCTTTCCTCTGTTTAAATTTGTATTGACTTTCTGGCCTTGAAGTTAGACCATCCTTATCTATAATGCCAGCTGTATTCTTACCTGTATTATAAAATTTTAAAACTTTTATTTAAAAAAAATTGACATCCTTAATAAAACTTTTTCTTGTTTCAAGGCCAGTCATCCAGCAAATGTCCTGGAGTGCATTGCTTATTTTAAGCACGCGAATAAGCCCATTGACTTTATGGGATCACTTGTGAATTTAAAATTAAATGTGTGCATCACAGCTTTGCTAGATCAGGGCCAAGGATTGTCTCATCCTTGTGAAGGATGTGTTTATTTTCAGTTGGGATTTATATCAGTTGTCTACTTAACCCAGTATACGTTTTTTGAGCTGTTGTCAAAGGGTTTGAATGAGTCAGTATTGTCGTGTTACACAGTGTGATTGCTAAACTGTGATTTGCCACCTCTATCATCAGTGAAGATCAGCATTCAGCACAGACCATTTTTTTTCCCAACAAGCATAAAAGCAACCTCGTTAGAAAGTCAGGTAAAAGGAGTAGTATATTTGAAATGATCTTTAAAAATTTAGGCTTAAGTCTTCAGTAATGTATATTTCCTAGTTCATTAATGCAGAAATACTGCACATAGATTTTAATCTTAGAGTTAATAATAAAAGCAATTTTCACTAAAAATATAAAAACTGTAATGGTAGAATCATGATATTGCATTTAGCTCTCCCACAAAAAGTCACTTTATTACTTTCTTTTGACACTTATTTTCATTCTGGGATTAATTTTACTATATAAGGGCTTCTTAACTATTCTATTAAAATTTCCATTCAGAAGCAATAATATCTAAGAGTGAATAATAGTCATGTAAATCATTATTTCATATTAATGTAAAAGATTTTGTAAGTTCTTATGAATTCTGCTGACATGCACAATTGTGAAAAGGTTATCTCTACATTCTGCAGTGATATGCGCTGGAACAAAGGAACTATTTTAAAAGCATCAGTGGAGTACATCAAGTGGCTACAAAAAGAACAACAGAGAGCCAGAGAATTAGAACACAGACAGAAGAAATTAGAGCAGGCTAACAGAAGACTTCTACTTCGAATTCAGGTTTGTATAAGACTGTTACTATGAACTACAAAGCTTTCTCAATACTTATCCCTCATCCAATTTTATTCACCTACATAATTTCCAAAATGCCATTTACTAAAAGTGCATTGGCCTTGTGACAAAGGTACAATTTTTCATATAAAAATAGAAACAGATTTGTTAAAGTGTGTGTTTTTTGTGGTTTTTTTATTGATTTTTAAGAAATTCCTTTAATCATTAGGATTTATATAAGGTAATGTGTAGAGAAAGACCAATAAAGTATGTGAAAGAACATTGCCGCCTTATATACTGTCCACATTATTACTAGAGAAAAAAATTAAAAATAAAGAAAGGAAAAACATTCCCTAAAACAATATTGGACACTAAATCCTCTCCCGTATTTTCTTTTCCCCTTTGTAAAAATTCCACGGCATTGCATTGCCTTGGGGTACGTTGTGCCATATTATATTAAGTCACACATCATCTGCTCATGTGACATGAAGTATCAGAATATGGCCTTCCATACCTTGAGATGCCAGATTTAAAGAAATATATGTGCACACACATATATATCATTGGGTAAGATACCTGCTATTTCTCCTGATAGGAGTCCTGAATCCTTGTGGATAATTAACGAGTAGAAATGTCTGCAGCATTTTTCTATCACTTTAAAGTGGTTCAGTACTGTAGGTAATAGTATTAGGGGGGCTGTCATATCTCTCATGTTCCCATAGGAGATCTATTTAACAACAGGATGAGAATTAAAAAGAAAACTGGCATGTGTTACTCATTGTTATTATCCTGGATTATACACATATTGCATTTTTAAACATATTGTCAAAATTGAATTCAGAATTATCATTAATGTGTATGTATTCTGTGTAGGAATGCTGTTATCTACTGTGGTTCTAAAGAAATCAAACATTTCTAAATCATTATCTTTTTGTTTTTTTAATGGTAGGAACTAGAAATCCAGGCTCGTGCTCATGGTCTGCCAGTCATGTCTTCACTCGCTGCTGTGGATTTAGCTGCCCAAGTCATCAAGCAACAGACATATCCAGAAAAGAATGTCTTAGACTATTCTCAGCAAATGGCTCTGACTCATGGACCTAGTTCTGACATTTGTGATGGATCGATAGCCTTTTCCGATCCACTTTCGCACTTCACAGATCTATCTTTTAGTGCCGCTTTAAAAGAAGAACAAAGGTTAGAGGAAATTTTACTTGATGACACAATATCGCCATTTGGAACAGATCCACTCTTGTCTTCCGCATCACCTGCTGCATCAAAAGAGAGTAGTCGGAGGAGTAGCTTTAGTACCGATGATGGAGATGATTTGTAGAACTAGATAGGCCCTGACGATATTTTTTTAATCATTTGCTGGTGCTAAAAATTTGTGTTATGAATTTAAGTTTGATGTTGGTGCTTACTTTAAATAAGAAAACAAAAAACTGTTGTGGTGGTGAACTGTTGTGTGGGTAGGGCTTAGCTGAGGCAAACTTCATAGAACAATAGAGCTGTATCTCCTTATCCTGGAACTAACTACAGATCCTTCTTTATTTACCAGAAAGAGTTTTTTTTTTCCATCTTTTCTTCTATTCTCACAGAAGTATTAAAATAGTTCCCACAAAACCATGTCACAAAATTATATTCAAATACACTGTTGAATCTAGTACTCATTTCTCCCAAATTTATTCAAGAATTTTAGTTGTAAGCATTTATTAATTTCTTTTTAAGTGAAAAATAGAAAATTTGAATAAAAGCAATGGCTATGTAACATGAACTGCAATGGGGAAATGTTTGAATGGGATCTACCTACAATAGAGATGTTAAAATCATTACAAAAGGTGGGAGACTAATGCTGCATGAACTGCAGGCACTTCTTTTTAAAATAAAACCACAAAGTTCATGAAGTTGTTTTTTGAATCCATATTTCAGTTTGTATTGACCTATGGAAAACATCAAACATTCAGTATTTATTATTGTGCATTTTAATGTTACCAAAGAAAACCAGAAATATAATGATAGGGATAAAAAAAAGCAATCAAACAAAAACCAAACTTATCGGACAGATACAGATCAGGATTCAGCAATTTAAGAAGAGGTTACTCAGTCAACAGAATAAAGTAAGAGTGCATGTGGGTGTGTCTACATGAGATGCAGTGTTGGCAGGCATGAATCATGATGCCGATGCTACTGCACAGTAGCTCATTGCTACTGCGCAGTAGGGTCAAAAACGACTTGAGCGCCACTGGGACTGCACAATAACAACTTGCTAAAGCAAGTACTAAATGATTGAGCAGTAACAGCTGTGTAGTTGGGCACATGTGTAGACATGCTCTCTATGTACAGGATGCAATGGAGCTATTCAATGTTACAATTAGTATAAATTAAAACAGCCACTGTCGCTAATAGTAATATCAGTTATTTGTCACGTACCCAAGTGGTGTCCTTCTTTGATGAAGGCTAATCACAAATGAATAATAGGATACTGTATCTTCCAAGAAAACTTTTTCAAGCCATGAAGTGTGCCTTGGTTCCTTTGATGGCATAGTAGGGTTTTTCTAAAGGGACAAGTCCTAACTCTATACCAATGTTTTTGATCCAGTTTGATGTGGAGGATGAGATATACTACATTCCCTTGCATGCATTTTGGCAGAGAATTTCACTTCAAATTTACCTCTAGATTCATTATAAAAAAGGTAAGTAGTGTCTGGAGCCAAAGGAAGCTGAAGCTGTTGTTCTGATCCACTCCTTATCATGCTCACATGCTAGTAATGGGCATTCAAAATGTATGGATTTGACTCAAAGCTTAAGCAGTTAGAGGGCAGGCAGAAGATGCATCATCTTCATATGCAGTGAAATTTTGGAGTGTGATATATATTTTTGGTGTAGATTAAGTGCAATCACTTTAATACTAATACATTGGAAAATAAGCTGGCACAAGTTCTTTGCAGTTCTTTTTAAATAAACAAAAGTATTTGTTTTGGGGGTCTTTGTGAAAGGTAAAATATTCTTAAAAATGAGAATTGTTGTGTTGTTTTGCTCTCCCAGAACCTACCTAAAGAAGCATCATGTGAAGTGTTGCAGCAAAAGGGGATTCAATCAGGCTGTTATTTGACTTGTGATTTAAATGCATAGGCCTTTACTTCTCAAGTTGTCTTTATTATTATTATTTAGAAATCGTGCAGAGTTGGCAAATAGGACCTTCATAAGTGTTATACAGGCTGCTGTATAGATGGTTCCACTGAACTACATGATTTATAAGGGTCATAGCACACCCCATCAGTTCTAAATTCTTGTGTTTGGCATTTTTTTCTTAACTGGAATTTTACCTGCTCATTGGAATTTCACTTGGATTTTCTACTAACTCACTGGGAATTTCACCATGTGGCAAAAACTAATCAACATCTATCTAAAGAAATCATATCAGGTTTTTAGTCTATTTAAAGAGTTCTGTTACCCTATATAAATGCACTCATTTAGACAATAAACTCTTTGGTACAAAGAAACCACATTCTTGTCACGTACATATACATGTTTAGCCCAACATGCCTTGGTGGAAGCTCCCAGCTGTGTTGCTACAATACAATTAACAAAAAATAACAACTGATGCAGAGGTTTGGGTTTTTTTGTTTTAAATCTTGGAAGTGGGGATGGGAGTGCAAATGAATATTAACCAAAGGTAACTGGATATAGGAAGAAGAGCCATTTTAATTAGAGTTGTTCAGTAAACTTGGGGCATAACCCACTATTCCAGAGATTCCACAGGTTACAAAATGAAAGTAAAATCTGAAACATGATACAAGAAAAGTAACATTTATGCCCAGGCACCTAATTTAGGATTCATGTTGTCCATTGCATGTGAAGAAGGGAGAAGATAGATGGCTAACCAATTGGCATTTGTCCTTGTAGTTTCTACTACATTAGATTTAAATACACTAGCATGGATTTGCTCACAGTGGAGCAAAATGAATTAAATATGAATGTGTTACATGACTTTCCCATTGAATTTGTACATGGGAGATAGACCATACTTTTGGACTGCATTGACTTTAAAAAAAATCCTGAATTTAATTTTTTTTACAAGTACCATCAAAAATATTTCAGTGCTCCCATTATTTTTTTAAAGTTCATTTTCATTCTTCTGACAATTCCCTCAGTATAAATCATCAGATTTTTTTTCTGCATGAAAAACCTAGCAGGCTAGCAGTCACTTCTATTGCCATATACTGTCTTGCAGTATCTGTCAGTAAATATGCAGAGAAACTACTCTTCCCAAGCTGCAGTCATTCATAGAAACGCTATGTGTATATGTGTGATGGTAATGCTCTTTCAATGCAATTGAATTATGTTTCCAATGGGAAGTTGTCATTTCAGATTGTGATTAGGATTTTCATGAATTAGTACAATTCAGTGAGAGCTGTTGTGTTACTACTATAGGTGGTTACGTAAGGTGAAAAAGATTTCCTCTAACCCACTGTAAGGGAATGCATCCCTGAGAGAGGATAACATTCACCTGGCTCTTTGGTGTCAGAGGCTATAGTTTCCCAGTGTGGTTTGATCTTTTAGTATAAATCTTAATGCTTATGAGAAGGTCAATAGAAGGCTACACAGTTAAGGAACCTTCAGAAAGGTATTCAGCACGTCCATGGCCCTCTATATGTTGGAACTATTCCAAATTTCCTAAAATAGCAAACTCTCCCAACTCAGACTTAGCATGATGGCTTTAAAGCTTCAGACTTTTTACAGCATGGTGCAGTGCTTGTAATCTTGAACACAGAAAAGGGTTTTTATGTATATGGGAACAAATCCTGAAGTCCTAACTCAGGAAAAAAAACTTCTTTCAATGTCAATGAGAGTTTTACAGGAATAAAATTTGTGCTAGGTCTCCAGGGTTTGATGCATTAAAGCTATGTCCAAATTATTTCTAATACAGCTCTGTTTGATGAAGTTTGGTGTACTATGACTAAAGCTCTAAGACGCAAATTTAAAGACTTACTTTTCTACTAGTTGGGGGAAAACCATTCCCCCCCCAATATATTTAAGGACTTTTTGCCTATTTCTAGTAAAAGTGGTGGTTGTATTCTTACAGTGTACATGAACCAGTGAGCTGATAATTATACAAAAGCAAAGGCAGCTGAAATATTACCATCTTGTTTAATTCATGAAATGGATATAGATACTATACAAAGAAAAGAGATCTAAATTGTTTCACTGCCTGTGTGGATACTGTGTAAAAGGCTAAAGTAAGTGCAAACATTTTAACAAACAGGAATGCAGTTGCCTTATAATTTAAAGGACTAAATATAATTCAGTCATTTAATCTTAATAAGAACATTGTTATAATACCTTTTGACTTTAATAGGGCTGTATACATGAATGGAGGATGAAAATTATTGTAATTTAAAATTATGTTAAGTCTGTTAGATCAGCAAAGGCATTTACATTACTATTATGAGACAGTAGAATATTTTTATGATAATTGCTATTTTTCATTGTTAATCATACAGTATCTTGTTTTCTAAGTAAATGTATGTGACAGAATGTATTTTAGTACATACTGTACATGCAGTCTTTATAGAAAATACATTTTGTGTGTGCTGGAACTTTATGTTTATTATATGAATACAATTAAAGAAATTAAAACATCTTTTTTATATGTCCCTTGTGAAACAAAGACCCACTAAGAGTGTTACTGCAAGACATTATAATAGCATCACTAAGAGCATCTAAGGAAATACTCAATAGACAACACTCTTAACAACTGCTAACCATTTAGTCCATTATTATACATCATGATCCAGTAGCCTCCCATTAATGAAAATAATTGATATATTCTTTAATATGGTCTCCTGCCATCTGCTTATTCCTGCTGCTAAGGCTTTGATTTATGGAAAGTGTTTTCAGAATGTTGCAAAATTGCTAGCAGGCATGATAGTATCAGTTAAATCGCTAAGAAGCTCTACAAAAACCTTTTAATGTACTAGATGTTCCCCAGACAATCTAGGATAAACAGAATATTGTATTTTAAGATGTAAAACATTTTTAAAGCTGATAATTAGGCAACATTTTGGAACTAAAAAGATACCCTTACTAAATGAATTAAGTAAGAATTTGTGTCGAGTATTTTGAATCCCTCATATCAAAAGTACTGCTGTCTATAGCATGTATTTGGCATTTTATGTATACGAATGATGCAAAAATTATGAAATATTAGTAATATATATTTGGCCATGGTTTTCTAGTATTTCATTTATTTCTTTTAAATTTTGGTTGTCATAGTATTTTCTGCAGTGTTAGATAAGCATTTCATTTTAAATAAATACATCACCTAGCTTTTTTTGTTCCATTAATCTGTTAATTAAGATATCCCAAATAGTTCAGATATATGATACAGTTGTAATTTTACTTACAAGTCTAATTTCAGGGAAGAGCCAAAGAAAGGAAACACTGTTTTTGTACACATTTAGGATCTGGTCATGAAAGATGCACAGTGCTGTCTGTGAGGTGCTCGGATCACCTCATTTCCCTACAAAGATAGGTCTCATCCTCGTGGTGATTCACACCCTCTGATGATGAAACAAACAACATCGGGAAATCAAATCAGAAATTATTAAAAAGGATTAGGAAAAGCACTATGCACTTAACTACTTGATTAAAAATAGTTATATTAGAGTAAATGGCAGCTAATCAGGTTTGATGTAAGCATCATTTGTATTAACAACCAATGGGAGATTAAAGCAAAACCTGTGAAGTTTTGATACTAATCAGTTGCAGGACCAAAAATCTAATTATAAAGGGGAATACAGTAGTGAAGTATGATAAGGCTTATTGGTTAAATCACTGATATCCATCAAGTTAAATATATATCAGTTTCATTAATTGGCAACCACAAGACAAGTGTACTATATTCAGGATGGTGA